TTCGTTCATTTGAGCACCTTTTCAAATACGGACTGAAGTCTTGCAAAGAAAAAACATCCACTGAAAGCTAAAGATAAAGAAGGGAACAGATGGCTTTCTGCAGAATATGCAACAAGAGATGTGTGCAGAACACGTTCAGTAACACAACAACACGTAGCTCATGAACCACACGTAGGAGAAAGAGAAGAAAGGGCCATGTGTGGTGCTCCACCTACTGGAGTCAACCTGAATAACTCAGACTTGTTTTTTTTAAACTCCTGTGTACGCACTTCCTGTTCTACAGAATACAGACAACTTTTCTGTGGGTGGAGACGTGCATGATGACGGAGTGAAATTATCATGGAAACTTATGGTGATGGAGGAGGGGAACGAAAAGTGAACTGGGCTAAAACTGGGTTTGATGATGAAAATGAAGGGAGAACCCCTTTACACTTCCTGTGAAAAAGCAGCAACCTGTAAAATGTAAATATTTTCGACTGAGTTGAGAAGACATGAGACATGTGAGAATTAGATGTGAAGAAGCTGACTTGGACAAACATCTGATATTTTCTTTACCTTCTGGGAAAATGTACAATTCAGGCTGGGCACACTTTCAATCAAACATTTCTGTCAAGCTTTATCACTTGTTTTTATTTCTTCTAAATGAGTGACTTTGTAATATATTTAATAATCATGTTAAAATGTACAATTCCCCCCCTCCTTTTAGCTTTTATTTCACATTATGCAACCCAAACAGGAATATGTTTTTGCACATTTGTTATTTTTTAATAAAGATTATTCAAAATGTTAGAAATGTTTCTTAATGTTTATTAATGCGCAGCTTTAACCTGAAACTATGGAGGACTGGAACTGACAGAACTTTACCTCATGTTTTATAACTAAGCTGGAAAAGAATAAATATGAAGCTCAATTAAATTATAAAACATGAGGTAAAGTTCTCAGTTTTTAATTTAATTGATGCATTTTGAATGTATTTATTTATTTATTGGTCCATTTATATATTTCTGCTTTTATTTCTAATTGCATCAGATTCAGTCCTCCGTAGAAACAACCCAGTCATTTTGCTAAAGTAAAAAGTTACACATATTCATAAATTTGATTAGAAATACACACATTTATGTGAATTTGTCTCATTTAAAGTGATGGTTCAGCTGTTTAGATGTAGGTTTCTATAAGAGTTATGACTAAGTAATATCTTGTAAATAGTTTATTGAAGGGCAACAGTAGAGACATAAGAGTTTATATCTGACAGGACTAATGAGGTCATTTTAAAGCAAAGCTAAATGTCCAAAATATCATTTATGCAAATATTATTACTGGCAGCTTCTCTCGTAGATAAATCAGCGGTTATTAAAAAGCCTTTTGATATTCCAGGGTGTGCAGGGGGGCACCCCAAGCAGAATTTCCCTCTGTTTCACTCAAAATAACATGTGAGATGGACTGTGGTATTAAAGTTTAACAAAAAAAATTGCTTAAAAAATCTGATGATGTTAGCACAGAAACCTACATCAAATAGCTGAACTATCCCTCTGGTCAAAACAAAGCTGAGTTTGATTTTTAAAGTTTTTTCAGCACGTTTAACTATTAAATGTTTAAAACAGTGCTCATGGAAGTGTCCTCATCAGACTCCTTGATGACAAATGATGAAGACTCTCATTCTCATTCCTTCGTCTCACGTGAGCTGAAAGAACAAATGTAGAGCATGTGTGGAACTCAGCTTTGAGAACACGTTTCTGGTAGAAACTGATTTAATTTGATCTGGAATGTTTCAGCAAAGACATGCTGAGTCACAGAACAGCTGATCATCCTGATGCGTCCTGTTTAGCTTCTCTACTGGAAGGGATGGGAGGGAGGGGGGGGGGGATTTATTGTTTAAACTTTAGAAGCAGCGAGAATTGTCTGACTGCTTCTGCTTAATGTTACATTTTAATGTCAGAGGTTTGTTTTGTTTTTTCTCAGTTCTCTATGTAAGCGAGCAAACATCCTCCTTCTAGGCTGACTGCATCATTAACTGGAAAGGCCCCTCCCCCCCGAGACACACCAACATTTTGACTTTCCAGAGGTCTGAAATTCTTAATTCAAAAAATTTCTGAGGTCATCGTGTCACGTGGCCATCCCACACACACGACAAGAGTTTCTTTTCTTTTTCTTTTTTACACGTTTATGTTGTGTAGAGTCAAACAGGAAGTCAGAGGAGTGAGTTGGCCTCGGGGGAGGAGGGGCTGCATATTTCATCAAGACACAGCTGCCAATAAACGTTTATGACCGAATAAAGTTGAAAACATTCCCAGAGTGGTTTGATTTATAGGAGAAGAAGTGGAAGTGAAGCAGATCAGGTATGAAGTTTCCCACTGAGGACCTGCTTTATCCCAGTGCTGCAGTGTGTGTGTGTGTGTGTGTGTGTGTGTGTGTGTGGCAGGGAAACTGAAGACAGGACCATAACCTGTCTCTTATCACCTGCTGCTGAAGGTAAAAGGTGTTTGAATAACGGATATGACCGTGTTTCTGCATAATCAGTAAAATGCCCAACGAACACCAAATGTGAGTTAAACATCCAGAAAGTAATTGTTTGATCTTCTACAACTGATTATCTTTGAAGTCATCCCCATTCAAGATGGCCGCCTCAGGTAGGCAGCCTGTGCAAACACAAACATGTCTTTAACTCAGCTAAGCTTTCAAACAATAAATTAAATGTGCACTGGCTTAGCTTCGTCCCCATCCCGGACTCATTGCACATTATGGCTTAAAACTTTGACATTAATGTTTATCTGATGGGTATTTGTAAAACCTTCAGAAAGTAAGTATCGTCCGTGCATCTCTCTTTGGGACCAAATTAAATTTAAGATGGCAGATTTCTTTAGACAAGATGAGCTGGTTTAAAACTGACATGCATGCCTTTCAAACAAATACACAAACAAAAAATAAATAAATAAATAAAGCGCCCACGAGAAGTAGCTGTGGTCATTGTGGAAATTTCCCCTCACGCTGCGTAGTACTTTACGAAGACAACGTAAAGGGAAGCGTTGCCACAACAAAAGCTCGTTGTTTATACCCGGAAATACTTTTCTATCATGACTTTGTTAAAGAAGTTCATTTTTTTAATGTTTCTAAAAAGTGTTTCAGTCATTTAGCGTAGCTTTGTGGCTGCTAACGTTAACGTCTCAAAGAAAATTATAAATAAAAAAATATACAGAAGTAACAGTTAAGTTTGTGTCATTTTTAAACCATTTGTTTTATAAGTTTTACTGAGTGCATGCTGGTTTAAAAAGAGAGAATAACAGATGTTTAAGAGGAATGTGTTTATGTATAATTAATAAAAAAGAACACATTTTGTTTGATGTATGAGTTTAGAACTCCAGAGCGTGGGAACAGAAGACTTTCAGGTTTGAGAAGGGATTGAGTTTCTGTTTGGCCTTTTTGTCACTCAGGTAATAGAAAAGATAAACATCTAAACAATGCAGAAAATGAACAGCTGGTTTCAGACTGGTGATTGTTTGGTTTTTGTTGTATTGTCATAGTTTCAAAAGAGTGTGAACAATGAAGCTTTCCACTCTGACACATATTGAAGTGTGTATTTTTTTTTAATTTTAGCTTATAATTATCCATGTTGCTCAAAACCATGGATATGTTAGTTTGAATAAGTGTTTTAATTTAAATTGAATGAGTATTGAACACTCCTTGACATCTGTAGCTCTAACAGAAAAATGTGTGTGTGCTGCCACCTTGTGGTGAAACTCAAACACAACAAAAACATTTAAGAGGAAGTGATTAAAAAAATCCATGAATGCAGAAACGAATAAAAATAACTGTACATTTCCAAAGGCAGTTTGGAAATTCCTGATTGTGTACACATTAGAAAAGTGAAAACTTGAAATGACAGCTGCCTGTTGTTTCTCACTTTTCAGACGTTTGTGTCAGTGAAAAAAGGGGATTTACACATTAATCATTCCCAGAAATCCTGCTCTTATAAACCTGTTGAAATTACAGTTACTGGTTGTACAGGTATGACTGTAAGATGGTCAGAAGCTTTGTTAGAGTTCCCCCCATTCAAAGTGAAATTAAAAGAAAAAACAAAACATAAAAGGCAAGTTTTAACAAAGAAAAAAGAAATCAAAAAATAATTAACGTCGGGGTTTTTAAGTAGAGATTTTGCATGGTTAAATCTTGTGCTCAAAGTCTAAGCAGGGAGAGATGCTCAGCTACTACCACACCAAGTTTTAGCTGCATGTCTGTAGATTTGGCAGAGCAAGAGTCAATTTTGTGTTTCCTAAGAATGAATTAGGTCAACACACACACACAACCTTCATCCCTATGTGATTAATGATTATCTGAGAGAAAATGTAGATTAATTTATGCATTATAAATGTTAATAATTGAGCTACAACATGAGTATCTGAGCCTGCTGTCAATCATTTAAACACTGGTTTAATCACAGTAAGATTTTATTTCTGCCTCAACCAAATAAATATTAAAGAATTCATTATTCTAGTTGCACATTCTGCTTTCCAGACTTGTAAATACTTTATTATTTTACAAAAAGAATAAAACATTTAGTGTTTGAAAAACAAAAATGTTTGATACGTAATTATCGTGTATTTATGAAAATCACTAATGAAAACTGCAAATAAACGTTTCTACTCTTGACAGAAAACACTGCAGTGATAATGCAAAAATGTTGTTTGTCCTTAAATATAAAATATAAGATAAACAAAACCTTAGATTTGAATAAATTTGGCCCCACAGTCATGAAATAATGAACTTTGTATCATAAATAAATATTAAAACACATCAGTTCAAACAAAAAAGAACCTATTTTCAAATATCTAGAACTCCACCAGTAGAGGTCGCCCTTTCTCCATCTGACTGACTTCTTCCTGTTTGAATGACAGAAGAGCATGTCCCCCCCAGACCCCCCCTGTGTCACACAGCCAGAATAATAAAATGCTGACTTGTCAAAGTGCTGTTGGCGCACCCATCTCTGCAGCCTGACACTCCGGGGAGAAAGGCAAGAGGGAGGAGGAGAAAAAAAAAAAAAAAAAAAAGAGAACCTGCTCTTAGAGCAGCCTCTGTCCTGCCAGAGTGGCTTCAGCTCTGTGTTTCTGTGAAGGTAGGTGAGTTTCTGCTGCTTGTTGTCTTAGAGGATTGAGGTTTGGGTTGATCTACACTTTTTTTTTAAATTAAGCATGCCATGCTTTGTTCCCGTCAGTATATTTTTATTTTGACATTCTGCATTTGTGAAGCAGGAAAAAAGCTGTTAAACTTCTCCACAGTGTTTCTGTGTGTGTTTGATGCTGAAGGAGGTTCATTTTAACTCAAGTCTGGAGTTATTTGTGTGAGTTGGAGAAAGATGAAACTTGTGTAGAAGCTCTGTCAGTCACAGGGATTAAGTTGTCCAACAGCAGCCCATCACTGTGTGGTTAATTCATCAGAGAGGATTTGGAGATTTGTCTCTGGAAGCTGTAGCTTGGACGCAAGATAAAGTTTATTCATCTCATCCAGTAAAGACCCATTAGTGTCTGACATGTGTATCTGCCACCAGATCAGATTGGCTTGGGATTCTGTCTTTTCAATAAAAAACGTTTCTCTGACAGAAAGCTGAGTTGCTGTTGGTGAGTTAAAATGGAACCCTAACACAGTATCAAGTAGCAACCCAAGCTGGAAAGGATTCGCACGACTGAAAGTAGCTGACTTGTGAGGCTAAAATTAATCTGAGGGCTGATTTGGAATGTTACACTGGGATGGTGAGACGTGGAGAAGATGACCCTCAGATGGTGACAAATCTTCAGGTCTGCTGCAGAACGACGACTTTAGAAACACTTATTCTACTACTGTTGTAAAAACGTATATCTAAAACATTAAATCAAAGTTTAGTAAAAACTAACAGGTCGTTTTCAAGTTTAAAAACTAACTTTTTGTGTAGTTGTTGCAAAAAAATAATGCCGAGTGCCAGAGATTTACCAAATATGTTGAAGAAGCTAAAACTTAACTGGTAAAGAACAAAAAACTGAATTGAGCGAAACAATAAAAAGCAAAAACAAGAAAAGCAGTCACTAAAAGCTCCAAATTGCAAAACTGTAGCTAAAAGATGTCTGCTTAAGATATTGGAGAAAAAAACTGTTTTTGAAGGAGCAATCTGCGGAAACAAAATATAACTGGGACTATAAACAAGAAGAGCATCACATAATACTACAATAAAGACAGAAGTCTTTAATTTATTTATGGGTGTCTCTAAAACATCTAAACCTTTATAAATGTAGTTTACTCATGTATTTTGCTTAGTGGGATACTTTTAGACTAAGTTACTGCAGCTCCTTTCCATGAAGTTTAAAACTTCAAACCAAGTCTTATTTTTTAAAGACCTCAGAACGAGAAGCAGCTCTGCTGAGTTTAAAGAACTCCACAAAACCAGTGTGAAGTGCCGGCAGAGAAACCTCCAAATACATCAGCTGCTGTCACCAAAGCTGCACACGGGCTTTTAGACGACCAGCAGATGGCTGAAGGTCTGTAATGAGTGCGATCCAGGCGCCAGCAGAGATCCAGCCTGATTTACATGTATGAACCGGCTCAGTGAGGTTTCTGTGTTCTTCCTTCAAAGTTTGGACAAAAGGAGCTGCTCTTTGATTAAAAAAAAAAAAAACAAAAAAAACACTGATCTCAAATCTGACTCTACAGTTTTGTTCCCACTGAGCTCCTCTTCGTGTGGAGCAACTAAAAACTCCAAAAATAAAATCAGATCGGATGCATTCTAAAGAACTATTTGATCGCTGACGAAAGAAATTATGAGGGGTTCGTGAAACCAGCAGGGTTCAGGACCCCCAGCAGCTGGAGGTGCACGAGATGGTTGAGATTTTCAGTGGAAAAAAAAAAACAGTCAGCTGGCAGCGGCAGGTGACAGCCCCTTCACCCAGCGTGTTTTGGTTTCATACAGAAGCTCTTCAGGGACCACCGGGGACAGATGACCATCCACAAACACACGGGGCTGTTTCCACTGAAGGTGGACACTTCCCAGAACGCAACACAATCTGGGTCAAAGCAACACAGCTTTGACCCAAATGTTCTAACATTAAAACCTGGTAAAAAGTCACAGTTTCCATTTCATCTTTTAAGACCAAACCTAGCTTCTTAAACTTTAGTACTTCTCAGTCTTCCTTTCCTCTCAGCTGTGATCAGTTTGTGTTGTTGGCTTTTCACATTAGCAGTGATGTAAAACCACCAGCAGAGTCACAAACACAATCAACAAACTATTTAGTAAAATAAATAAGAGCTTTGCAGATTAGCTTATAAGCTATTTTACAACTAATATATTAATTTAATTGAATCTATTTGTGTTTAATCTCTTTATAATGTTTAAAGTTTGGCTTTGAAATAAATTCAGAATGATAAAATGTTATTTGGTGTCTTCCCAAAAGCCTTAAGTCAGGATAGGTTTCAGATTAAAAACAAATTAAACATTTTTTATATAATAAAACAAAAATTGACATTGAAAAGTTCTACAAACAAGCAGAGGTGGGTAGAGTAGTACCAAAAATTGTACCCAAGAAAAAGTAGCACTATATATTTTTACTCAAGTAAGAGTAAAAAAGTATCCAATAAATGATTCAGGTAAGAGTTATAGGGTATTTGGTAAAAAGGCTACTCAAGCACCTGATCAAGACATCAGTTAGTAAATATTTTGGTACAGTATCCAGAAATTTTACTCATGTAAGAGTATCGATACTTCATAATAAAATTACTCAAGTAAGAAGTATAATACTCCTAAAAGTAAAAATTTCCCCAAAAAGTTACTCAAGTATAACTAGTTACTACCCAACTCTGAATTAAGCATAGTGGCGGCAGGATCATAATGTGTGGTTGTTCCGAGTCTGGGGAAAAAAGGAGGATAAAAAGAAAAACAGAAAAAAAAACATATTTTTGAATGAAAACGAGTTTTGAATCTGTGAAGACAAAGATTTACAACTGAGAAAACTCAGGTTTAGAGAACTTCGTCTGGATTTAGAACACAATAAAGCATGTTGTGAAAACAGAAAGTAAGTGTATTCACACTTTACTGTCAAATTCAGTGTAAAGCTGATATTCCTCAGCCCGTTGGTATACATTTATTTAAAAAAAGGAAGTATTTACGTGTATTTTCACTGTGCAGTGTCCCAGTCTGAGGGTTTTCCTCTTTGCGACTCCGTGTGTAGACATGCTTTGGGTGGTTCTACTGTACAAACAAGTGTGTGTTGATGATAAAAAGAAAAAAAAAATGGATCGCTCTTTCCAGTCGTCCCTTCATTCGGCTATTCTTAGTTGCCGTGTGGCGAGCGAAGGGTTTAAAGTTACAAAGACCTCGCTCGTAACGTTCTCTATTTTATGTCTTTAACTTGTGCAGGACGTCAGCGTAGATTTCAGCACCCCACACGGGTTTTAAATCAAAAATGAGAATTTCACCTGCAGCATGTGTACACAGAACAGTCTCTCTGTTTTACTGCCAACTTGTTATCGGAAATGCATCTATTAATACCAGCAATAACGCTCTGAGTAAAGTAGCTGATAAGCTCAGTGGAGATCCTGTCTCAGACAAGGACAGTGACTGACAGAATGTAGCAACAGAGCCCCCCCCACATCCAAATAACAAAAAAAATCTGTAAAAAAGATGTGTGTATATATATATATATATATATATATATAGTGGGGAGAACAAGTATTTGATACACTGTTGATTTTYCAGGTTTTCCCACTTGCAAAGCTTGTAGAWGACTGTAATTTTTATCATAGGTACTCTTCAACTGTGAGTGATGGAATCTAAAACAAAAATCCAGAAAAATACAATGTATGATTTTTAAATAATTAATTTCCATTTTATTGTGTGAAATAAGTATTTGATACACCAGAAAAATGAAACTTAATATTTGGTACAGAAACCTTTGTTTGCAATTACAGAGATCAGACGTTTCCTGTAGTTCTTGACCAGGTTTGCACACACTGCAGCAGGGATTTTGGCCCACTCCTCCATACAGATCTCCTCCAGAGCCTTCAGGTTTCGGGGCTGTCGCTGGGCCACACGGACTTTAAGCTCCCTCCAAAGATTTTCTATTGGATTCAGGTCTGGAGACTGGCTAGGCCACTCCAGGACCTTAAGATGTTTCCTACGGAGCCACTCTTTAGTTGCCCTGGCTGTGTGTTTTGGGTTGTTATCATGCTGGAAGACCCAGCCACGACCCATCTTCAGTGCTCTTACTGAGGGAAGGAGGTTGTTGGCCAAAATCTCACGATACATGGCCCCATCCATCCTTCCCATAATATGGTGCAGTCGTCCTGTCCCCTTTGCAGAAAAGCATCCCCAAAGAATGATGTTTCCACCGCCATGCTTCAYGGTTGGGATGGTGTTCTTGGGGTTGTACTCATCATTCTTCTTCCTCCAAACATGACGAGTGGAGTTTAAACCAAAAAGTTMTATTTTTGTCTCGTCAGACCACATGACTTTCTCCCATTCCTCCTCTGGATCATCCAGATGGTCATTTGCAAACATCAGACGGGCTTTGACATGCGTTGGCTTGAGGAAGGGCACCTTGCGTGCACTGCAGGATTTTAATCCTTGACGGCGTAGAGTGTTACTGATTGTTTTCTTTGAGACTGTGGCCCCAGTTCTATTCAGGTCATTGACCAGGTCCTGCCGTGTAGTTCTGGGCTCATTCCTCACCTTCCTCAAGATCAATGATGCTCCACGAGGTGAGATCTTGCATGGCGCCCCAGACCGAGGGAGATTTTCCRTTATTTTGTATTTCTTCCATTTTCTAATAATCGCACCAACTGTTGTTTCCTTCTCACCAAGCTGCTTGCCTATTGTCCTGTAGCCCATCCCAGCCTTGTGCAGGTCTACAATTTTATCCCTGATGTCCTTACACAGCTCTCTGGTCTTGGGCATTGTGGAGATGCTGGAGTCTGATTGATTGAGTGTGTGGACAGGTGTCTTTTATACAGGTAACCAGTTCAAACAGGTGCAGTTAATACAGGTAATGAGTGGAGAACAGGAGGGCTTCTTAAAGAAGAACTAACATGTCTGTGAGAGCCAAAATTCTTACTGGTTGATAGATGATCAAATACTTATTTCACACAATAAAAGGGAAATTAATTATTTAAAAATCAAACATTGTATTTTTCTGGATTTTTGTTTTAGATTCCATCACTCACAGTTGAAGAGTACCTATGATAAAAATTACAGTCATCTACAAGCTTTGCAAGTGGGAAAACCTGAAAAATCAACAGCGTATCAAATACTTGTTCTCCCCACTGTATGTATTTTCTTGACAGCTGTGTGTATGAGTGAGTGTCTGTGAGCTGAAGCCATGTCAGACCCCAGGGACATCGACGAGGATGCCATCCTCAAGGGGCTCAGCGCCGAGGAGCTGGACAAGCTGGAGTATGAGCTGCAGGAGATGGACCCAGAGGTACGGAGCAGTGATTGGTTCTGGATAACCAGAACCACATGGTCTTCATGTTTAGATCTGCTGCAGGTTTTCCATGTCTGCATCACAGATGATCATTGTCACAAACTACTGACATCCTTTCAATTATTCCACGATGCATGCTAACAAACATGCCAGGACTAAAATAAAACCTCCAAAACTCAAAGGATGATGGTCTTTCTTTGTTTTTTTAACTAAGTTATTGTCTTTTTAGGTTTGAGGACATAAAAAATATGACGCAACATGAGGATTTTGTACGAAGCCAGTATTGTGTTCAAAAATATATATTTTTCTTGCACATTTCCACATTAAGAAACCATTCAGATCAAATGAACCAATTTTTGGTCAACGTTTTAATAATGTATTCCTCAGCTACACTGCTTCATGGCCATCAGTAACTGAGAAGCCACAGTCTCTGTACTCCAGATAGACAGTAAAAAATGTAAAAACATAAATTCAGAACAGTGTGCACATCTAATCTGGTGTTCTCCCAGAATGCCATGCTGCCGGCTGGTATGCGGCAGCGAGACCAAACGAAGAAGAGCCCGACGGGGCCCTTCGACCGAGACGCCCTGGTCCAGTACCTGGAGAAGGAGGCTTTGGAGTGTGAGGACAGGGACGACCTGGTGCCCTTCACCGGGGAGAAGAAAGGTGGGTGGAGGGGAGAAACGCTCATCTGAACTCTGTTTCAGAGTTTCAAAGCAACACACTTCATTTAATCCTGTTTTCAAACCAGTTAGAGCTCACTTCTTCACAGTTTCATGTTGAAATACTGACTTTACTCAATATACTTGTAAAGCTCTGAAAAAGTAGCTGTCCACTCAAAGCTTCATGTGTTTATCCAGCTTCTTCTGACAGCTGTACAGTATTACATTCTGTGACGCACCACTGCACTGCAGATCAGGGCTTTTACTTTCAGCTTTGTGTATGTGGGCTTTTTTTTTTCTTTTCCTTTTCTTTTTTTTTTTAAAGCTCACTGACTTTGAGGCCACATTCATTATACACACGAGCTAACCCCACATTCAGAGGGGTTAGCTCACCATGTTCAGACCAAACAGATCTGACAGGAAATATTTGTACTGCAGCTCATGAGCAACATATTGAAAGAGAAACTATTTACTAAAGCAACAAGAAAATATTCTATATAAACGAGTCCCTGTGAGATCCTAAACTGAACAGACTTTTGACACACACAAGATGAGAAAGTACAGTGCAGGCTCCAGTGGAGCTAATTAGAGCTGCTTCATAAATCTCAACTTGACTTGTTCTTTTTTTTAATAATAATAAAATAACATACAACCTAAGCAGAGCTTTTACTAAAACAGACAGATTTATATATTAAGATATTTAGACTGTTTTATAAGCATCAATTTGACCTCTTTCCAGGTGTTTTTACCTTAAGTTTCAACCTTCTTTCTTAAAGGCCCTGTCTCACTATAATGTTTTAGACAACTTATGCCAGCTTATGAAAACACAATTTTCACTAAATTTGGGGCTGCAACTAACGATTATTTTAATAATCTGTTGATTATTTTTTCGATTAATTGGCCAAATCATTAAAACGCTTAAATACATGAATATGAGTAGATATAAATTAAGTTAACTCCTTAAGGATGTAAGTTATTGATAATGAATTAATCTGAAGTTGATTTATCTTATAGATTGATTAACAATTAAGTAATAAGCAGCCATTTTTTAAAAAAATGGAGTTTTCTCTTGAATCAAGAGGGTCTTCCCATAAAATGAAGGATTTTTTTATAATCTCCTGAATTAAAAAACAGAAGCACATAATGCATATTTTAACAATTTATTTTGCCAGCTGTATTAAATACTGACTGAAAAAAATGTGTATTTCTCCTACATGAAACATAACAGAAATTTAATAGGTTGCTGAATGAGGAAAATAGATTAAAATAATAAAATATGATTTTTAGATGTAAAACTATTTTTAATTTATTATAATTAGTATTTATTTACATTTAACATTTATTTTTTTCTCTAATTCTTTACTTTTTGTTTCATTCTTGTTGGTTCTGTTTGACTAAAACCTTGTTTGACCCTAGGACTGCCACAAACGATTATTTTTATAATAGATTAATCACCGATTATTATTTTTGATTAGTCGACTAATCAGATCATACATTAATTTAATATAAAACATAGAGCTTATCGTGCCAGAATGCAGCTGCTATTATATAACCATGGTTAGATTTTAGCTATATGCTAACTAAAAATAATTGCTGTGGAAGACAAGTTCTGCTCTGCAGATATTACACAGGTTTCTGTTTCATTTTCTTAAAATGATCCCACACTTTGAGCTCTGTTGTCAGGTAGCCATGATACCAGAGCCTGTCTGTATAATGTCTTGTGACGTCCACGGCCTACCCCAGTTACCACTACTGTGCATGTGTGTCAAGGACAGAAAGGCAAATGTGGCAGTGGAAGGTGTCAAAGCAGTTTGGAGAGAAAAACAAAGTAAAGAACAAAAAAAAAGACTAATCGATTATTAAATTAGTCATTGATTATTTTAATAATCGATTAGTCATCGATTAATCTACTAATACAAGTTATATATTTGATCAATTTATTATCATTACAGTATGTATACACCTAAAACAGGCTTCCAGTTGATTTTTTTTAGTTCCATCTCAACGTAGATGTCTCCAAACATTTCATAAGTTGGCACAGGTTGTCTAAAACATAACAGTGTGACAGGGCCTAAAAGGGATAGTCTGATCCTTTTGGAAGTGATGGTTTTTGTTTCTGTTTTTTTTTCTATTTAGGAAAGGCATTCATTGCAAAGAAAAGAGAAATCCCGAAGCATGAGCAGATCACCTTGGAGCCGGAGCTGGAGGAGGCTCTGAAAAACGCCACCGACGCAGAGATGTGTGACATCGCAGGTTAGACAATCACTTTTCATAGCAACAATGGCAGAAGTGGCCTTTTAGGCTCACGTGTACAAAACACTTGACGGCAAATTGGATGAGGCTTGTGGAACAAGTTGTTTGGGTCTACGGTCTATTACAGAAAAGTATGTAAATATCTGGGATTTATTGTGGATGAACATTTAACATTTGAAGAAAGAATAAAAGTCTAATCAGACTCAGCTGGCAGAGCATTAGTTGCAGTTATAAATAAAGTTAAATATTGTTGTGACCTGGGTTATAAGATGTATATTGAGATCTTGTGTTTGCTCAGTACTAGATTATGGAGCAGGGGTCTGGGGTTACTGTCAAAAACCCTACAGTGAAAAGGTTCAGTGCAGATCTCTGAGTTATTTCTTAGGTGTGCAGAGAAACACCCTTAAATTGGCCCTGTATGGAGATAAGGGATGGAACCATGTGAAGTTAGATATATTGGAGATATAGTGAGATTGTGGAACAGGTTCAGTAATAAAGTATGTCAGATTATAGATTAACAAAACACATTTTTTTTTAAATTGGGACTTTAATAGGTATACTTCGGCCAGACAAATCGAGACGATATTTGAGGAAGATTTTCAGCATATTTATATTTATAGAAATAAGTTGAAATGTAATGCTGAACAAATTAAACTTAAAATGGGCAGATATTATTTTATGCAAACCAAAATTACAAACTAATAAAGGATGTTTATGGACTTGAACTTTATGTGACATGGAGTTTAACTAAACAATACAAATTGTGTGCAGATTCGGGACGATTTTGTTCATTTCCAGAGGACAGAAAATGTTCTTTATGTTTAGATGAAATTGAAATTCACTTTTTGTTTTATTGTCCTTTCTATAAGATTATGCGAAACAAATTATTTGTAAAAGTTCTTGATGTTTTTATTTAGTTGATGAGGATAAAGTGCAGGATTTATTTATGTTGTGTTTCAGTTAGCTCAGTTTGTTTTAAAAGCTTGGCACCTCAGGAAGAGGACACTTTTGTTTAACGAATGTTATGTCTGCAATGAAGAATGTGATTTTTGTGTCTTATAAGCCTGTGTGTATGACAAAGGAAAATAAAAACATCTATCTAAAAATATCTGGATAAAAATAACAATAATGCGGTGATCCAATCCACAACTAACAAGTGTTTAAAACCACAACGCTCTCTTCAGATTATGTAAAATACAAATAAGGAGATGTAGAAAAAAGGCTTTTATGAACTCCTTAAAAGGGCACAGCAAATAACGGGAGGAGAAAAAAAGTGTTATGTTATCTGTTTCTCCACCAGCAGCTGCTAATTAACCCACAACATTGTGTGACCTCGTTGTTTTTACCACGTAGACCTGTTGTCTCTCCACTGTTGTCTTCAAATTGTTTTCCTCAACATGACGGTGAAGCGGCCCAGAGCTAACAGACATGGCCAGAAGTGCAGTGGGGTTTGATTTCCCGAGCTCAGCGACACAAAAATAAATAAGCCTGGCTCAAAGCCACCCAAGGAAGGGTGGAGTGGACGGTGAGGGCAGAGATACTGTATCTGTTCAAAACAGACACGTGGGAAACGACTGATAGAGCCACAGTTTTCCATGTTTCCTCAAGTTCAAACGAATCAAACCGAAGCTTAGGGTCAAAAATGGCACCTGTGGAGTCATTTGTTAAACAAAAGTTACATAAAACCTGACAGGCCTGTTTCACCTGGTTCCAATTCAATGTCTTGAGGAGGGATTTGGAAGAAGGATAAATGACAGCGTATACCTAAAGTGAAAGTCTTTTTGGGGTCCAGAATAAATGCTGCATTGCACTTTGAAGTAGATCAAATTGAGCTATCTGCTTTATTGAGAGAGGAACGAGCAGCCCGAAGTCCTCTGACAGGCCAGGCTGGCGAGCAGGCATCCAGAACGGCAGAGCAGGGGAGCATGTTTGTCTGGCTCCATCAGTCTGTCAAAGCACCGGTGGGTTTATCCCTGGACATCATCCAGATGAGGATTAAACCTCAGTTACTCTCTGTTAGTCTTTGTTTTGAGCTTTTTGGCAAACAGAGAATGACTAAAGTAGCTGACCCAGCAAGTTGCCCTGGATTTTTTATTTTTTTTTATAATTAAAAGTTCAGTGTTGGTAATAATGAGCACGTTGATGAACTGAGTTCTGAGTTCAGCGGTCTAATTTGCATTGTGAAGTGGGGTTATTCACGGGGCCAAACCATATGACGTGTTGGGGTGTTAATGGGCAGAATCGCCCCTAACCTCATCTCCCCCACCTCAAAGCTCTGCCTCTTTAACAGGCAGCTGTGCCCCTGGCTTCTCCCCCCTCTCAAGGCCCTTCCCATGACTCTCCACACCAGGTCAGAAGGCTGGTTGGTGGGTGGGAAGGTGGGCGGAGGAGAGGTGGTTGCTGTCACAACAGTTGGCTTTCTGACTCAGTTTGGTTTTGGCAGATTACAACAGCAGGGACCGAGGGAACAAGTCTGCCTCCTGCTGGTCATACACCATAACAGCAGCAGAAATAAATATCTGACGTTATTATAAAGGCTTGTTGAACGTATATTATTTAGACAAAAAATTTAAAAACAATTCAAGATTTTATGAATCTGGAGTCAAATTTTAAAGAAACTCAGAAAGTAATCAAAATAAGAACATCTATTAGGTTTTAAAGTCAAATAGATTCAAGATGGCCGCTAGTTAATTAAAAATTCACATTTTTACATATCTTTTAATGAATTTGTAATAAAACATTTCTATGCTGCTGGAAGCACCACGTTTGGATTTAAAGAAACAGCCTCATAATGAGCTGCTTTGAGACTCTTCAGAAAGGGGTGAAAGAGGGGCTTGTGGAGTTACAAAAAGGAGGAATTCAGACCTAATCATTGCAGTTCCACTTTATATAGACCCCACATGAATGATTTAAAAGCACTACTGTAATGTTAGCCACAAAAACAACTATAACTCAGCTGAATTTATATAAGCATTAAATTTGGTGCGGTAGTAAATATAAGTAAAGTAAGTTTAGCCAAATTGCACTAGAAAAACAAAGTAAACAAAGCAGGACACGTGATCTTATTCAAGCTTAAGACATTTTTAGCTGAACAGGACATGTATTCATAGTGACTGTTTTCCTGCACTTGCAGCCATCCTTGGAATGTACACACTAATGAGCAACAAGCAGTACTACGACGCTCTGGGCACCACAGGGACAATCGCCAACACCGAGGGCATCAACAGTGAGTGCAACTCCCCGTTCAACAACCTGACATGGATATAAGTAAAAACTACGATTTGATTCCAACCCGTTTCACGCTGTAATCTCAGCGGTGTTATTTCATCACACTCAGGTGTTGTGAAACCAGATCCATTCAAGTTCTTTCCTGAGGAGCCTCCAAACCCCACTAATGTGGAGGAGACCCTGGAGAGAATCCTGAACAACGACAGCTCCCTGATTGAGGTCAACCTTAACAACATCAAGGTAAATGTGATGAGAAATTACTTTTAGAAAATACAACCAATGTTTTACTTCTACTTAAGATGTTTGCTTCAGCTTTAAGTAGAACCAGCTGAACTTGAGGCTAGACTTTATTTCAGTTTGGCTAGCCTACATATTTTTGCTATCTGTTTGTATATTTAACTTGTGAGCCTCACAGACACGATGTTCCTTTCCATCTCCTGCAGGACATTCCCATACCAACACTGAAAGAGATTTTCGAGGCAATGAAGGGAAACTCTCACGTTGAATTTTTAAGCATTGCTGCGACACGTAGCAACGACCCTGTGGCCTACGTGAGTACAGGTGGCATAAAACCAGGCACAAACCAGTGGTACAAAACATTTACCTGTGCATTATATTGATCTGTAACATTAGGAGGAAATCAATTAAATGCAGTTACAGTTTACAGTACCTACATGTTAACAATTTAAACAAAAGTATTGGACAACTTGTTAGCCCTTGGATTATGTGTTAGGGTTGACTTTTAGCTATGATCACACCGAATTTTAGCTTAATATCTAAAACATGAGTGAGTTAAAGCCATTTTTGTTTGTTTTAGTTGTTTAGAAGTGGCTAAATCAATTAGGTTGACCCCAAAGGTGAATCAATTGAAGATGCACATCTGATGATTACTTTTTGTTTGTTTGTTTTTTTTAATTATTAATACAGAGACAATGTACAACATTTCATTAACCTTTTACAAGGAGAGATGCATGGTACCAGGTTATAGCAAAGAATGCTAATTTCCACCTGCATTCTCTGGACAGGTTGATGTAATCAAACATGTTCTAATCAACAATAACAAGCCAATTTAGTAAAAAAAAAATTACATACATATGTAAAAACAATAAATCAATTACTCAAATTTCATTAAAAACAAAAACTACAAACTAAAAAAACAAAACATTGGGCCTCATGCAAGAACCGTTCGTACGCACAGATTTGTTCTTAAGTTGTGCGTACGAGTGATTTAGGAGAATTTGTGGCATTCACCAATGT